AAATTGGTTAAAACTCTAATGAATTGTAAGTATTGGATGAGGATTTTTAGCTCATGTCATCCTATGAGTAAAGTCTTTTCATTCTAGATACAAACAAAAGTATTTTGCAAAACATTGTCTTAATATTCAATTTGATCATAGGGAAGAAAAATGTCCTAGAATTTCAAGATGTCAAGTGATGTCTACTTCGGATGAAAATTAAGTGAGACCTCCTTGTTCCAATTTGCTCTAAATGTTATGTAAAAGAGTGAAAAACAACACCTTATTGACTTGGGGGTTCCATTGAATAAAAGCTTCATAAATGTTTTCTCATTTTTTCTCTGTATTGATCCAATTCCACAATTAAAGACATGGGGTCCATTTGTAATTTAACAAGTTTTATCTCTGCAATAGCATCCCTCTGTTCAAGGCAACATAATAGTGCTCCTTCCATCACTTCAGCTAAGGCTGTGTCAATATTTTCATTAGAAGCCTGTGTTTATATACTAAAACTGTACCACAGCCAGAGAAATTCATGTACAGTTAAAATTAAGACAGTAACATCTGAAAACCTGTGGAAAAGAAAGAAAATGTGCTCATTCTTGAGCTTTAGGAGAGAAGTTAATGATCCTGAGGCCGTTTTGCATGTATCCTCAAACTCCTTCCTCAGCTCCTGGCATTTTATAGCTTAACACTCCATATTCCTTGCTGATGATATGTTAGCTGTGACTGGAAGGTTGTAGAAACTGAATTAGTTTAATTTAAGAAATGAGCTACTAGTTATGCTCAAGGTCTAATTGCAGTAAGGAATCCTTTCTTTTTTGTGTGTAACAAAAAATACATCTTTACAGGTATGTGGCATGGAGTGATGTACTATAGGTTTCTCAAAGTAGCTGTTAAATTTGTTCTATACCATGTTAGCATTCTCCAATGAACACAATGGACTATAAATCTTTTGAATTTATGTATTTACTTAATGATTCAGATTTTAAAGAAGCATATAATCTATAAAACAGTGTTCAAAGTTGGGATAGAGAAGCTGGAGAAATATGAACAGTCCTCTGTGCCTCAGACAAAATTTTCATTGATCTCAGTGTCTGGTTTAAGAACTGAACACAGCACGTGCGGTTTCAAAATTATTTTAAGATTGTGGAATCATTCACATTGTCTGTGAAGAAGACAATGGGTGTACTGGTTATTTTAAAAATCTCAGTAATTACTGTATCCTTCTTAGCACATGTACATCAGGGGCCACAAATTTTATTGTGATCTTCACATTAAAGTTTTTGAAATTAATTTTATATGCCAAAAAAGAAAACAGAAAACCACAAAAGCAGATATATAGCTCCCATTTTATGGAAGGTTCATATCAATTAACAGGAAAATGTGAAGAAAGCAAACGGACTAGCTTAGCAAATGAAAAATCTGTTAGGAGAAAAATTAATAGACATATTTAAAAAAAAAAAGAAAATACAGAGCATTTGAATGGCATGAGAAGAAACAACTAAGTATAATGGATTTAATGATCACTTTGATGATAATGGAAAAATCAGTATTTGAAATGTTTAAATGTAGTTTACAAAAGGGCTGCTATTTTTCCAAACCTCATCCATGTAGATCTATTTTATTCAATCCCCCTCTTTTTGTAGAAGGTGAAGAGTGGAAACACTAACATTTATCTTTAAAAAGTCTTTCCCTAACTAAATTTTGAGTGAGCAAAAGGTGAGTTGGATTTCATAAGTATTATTTGCCTGTTCTCTGTGGAACAGGGTATCCTATATATGTTGTTTTGGGAGACCAGCCAAAAAAGAAGATGCCAGAACACTAAAGAGTCGGGGTTTTGCAATAATACAATAAAATATTACAATAGGATAAAAAACACCCAGTCAGGAAAGCAAAGTTCTGAATTTGAAGGTGATATAATCAGATCTTTGAAAACCCCAGTGTGTTTAGTGGAGGATTTATTCTTTGACTGCTGGACCAAACCCAGTTAACTCCTCTGTTACACTCATCAATATTTATGGCGAGTTGCCAACATGCACAGTCTTATACAAAACACAAGACAAGACAAAGTCTCTGTCTTGTTGTATCTTTCAAGAATGAAAGAGATGGAAATTCTGATATAAATTCCAGTAGAAAGAGCAGGTGTTTACAATTTTAACTTCAGGAGAAGTAAATGCATTCTTATTTTTCTCCCCAGTTGCTTGACCGAATTATGATTGCAGTTCCCTTGGTAATTATTTTCTAAATTTGTTTTTGAAAGTGAGTCATTTGCAGCTCCGACAGGTTGGGGTTTTAATCAAAGTTAGAATATGTGTTTAAATTTTTATTCTTTAATATAAAATTATTTGCTTTTCTATTTTTCCTTTACTTTTTAATTTTTTTCAGTCTTTTCAATTCTTATGCTTAATAATTTCTATCCAACATCTCAGCTACATATTTCTTGTTTCAATATATATGTCTTAAATTGTTATAACTGGTACAATTATATAAAAAAGTTTCAATTTAAAATATCATGATGATTAATAAAGTTTTTTAATTACACATTTTGTAATTAATGGTGTGTAAGTATGAACATGGTCAATACTATTTTCAGAGCAGATTTCTTTGATGCAAGTTGTCTGGGGCTTCAATTCTAAATCCATTTGAGTTATTACTGTTCTGCATCAGCATTTATTGATTTTAAGGTACAGCATTAGCATTCACTTATCACTGCATATTTTTCCCCATTCTCCATTAAAAGAGCTTGCCCTCATCTGTCACAATCTCATACTGCATAAATCATATAAAATGGCTACTTGTTTCCATGATTTATTTCATTTTTATGTTAATTATACTGAAACATAGGATTGTTTAATAAAAATGTTGAAGCTAATCTATATTGGTCATCAATATTTTTTATGCATTTTACACTATGGAATGTGTGATATAACTCAATATCCAACTTGTATGGAAGGGTATTTAAAGTGAATTAGGATGTAAACTAACTTAGAGCTGAGACATATTTTAATTTTACAGATGTCAAATCAAACCTGATATTCACACAGTATTTTGTTGTAAGTTAATGCTGTCTATTAATATTAATCACTAGAAAACTACAGCTTCTCAGCCCCAGTTTTCATAGTTTTGAAACATAAGATAAGCTTTAGCTTCTCAGAATTACTTTCTTAAGACAGCACTGGCATCCCAACAAAATAAGACAAATAGAAAATTCCTACCGAAGGTAAGACACTCAATGGAAACTTGAGTTCTTCCGGAGAAGTTTTTGTCTGTGAAAGCACAGTAGGATCAGCTTAGGACATATCTGACTCTGAAACTTCAAAGACATCTACTCATTCACTGCAAGAATTCTTTTGTAATCAAAGACATTTCTGAAATCAAAGGCTAGGTCCCATGTAAATAGTGCTCAGGGATGCTGATGGAATGGTCCCTGATATATTTACAGAGGGTACTTCTCAGGACACACAAGGAAAATTTTTGCAGGATCAGTGCCTTGACTAATGCTAAGAGCATTTCTGATTTTTCTGTATAACTTTGCTATTTTAAATTCAGCTGACACCAGATGCTCTGGGTAAATCAAGGCACCCAGTGTTAATTTAAAAGTAATAAATAGGCAGTATATAACTGTTTCTTAATGATAAGGAATGCACATTCAAAAAACAGATTCCATTTCTTTTCTAACCTGCTGTTTCCAGAGCAAAAACAAAAAACAAATATATTTAGAGGTGTGGGCATCTGTTACTCTTAAGGAAAAAGATCTCAGACTTGAACACCTCCTTGTCAGCCAAATAACTGATGAAAAGTGATTTCATTATTATGGCAAATAAACTCTAGAATGTTTCTTTCCTAGAATTTTAGTATATGGAATATTAGTATTTACTAAAAACCTGGTAGACATAAAAAATGCAGAATATGTTAGATAAAATGAAGGTATTTTGGGACATGTGATGCTGTTGAAAAGTTTCTACAAAAAGTATTACCCTGGAAAACAATAGTTCATCAGAACTTGTGCACCTTTTTGTGAAACTTCAAGATTTCAGTTAAATCTCTTGCAATTCTGGTCCAATGAGAAGCGGATTTTTAATCAAATTTATGAGTCCTGCAGCATTTCAAGTACTTATAAAAATACTAAATGGATTTGTTGAATTATTTGCAGCTTTCTAGATTACATTTAAGTTGCGCTTTAGTAAAGAAATCTGTAACTGTTTTTTTCTCCTACAAAGTAACTGGCAAGCATGTTTATTACACTCAGAAGCCAATATAATTTAGTTTTATCAGGTTTTGTATCTGAATTTATATAATTTTCAAAAGAATTCTTTGCTTGCATGTTTCTGGTGTTTAATACTCTACTTGTCATCTAATTTATTTATGACAGAGAAAATAAGAACCATTGTAGATTTTGAGCACCATAGCAGTATAATAAAACACAGCCTGTTGTTATTAAATAGAAATAACAAAGGAACAGCAACAGATTATTTAAAATCCAGCCATTCAACTAAAAAGATAATAAAACTCTGACTCTTAACAACAGAAAAAAGCCCCACTAAATAACCTAAGATTTTTTTTTAATGGTTTAACTTTTTCCTTTTCATACCTTTCTAGGCTTTAAAATATTAACAACTGATGTTTGTTCATGTGTAAGCTTTAAGGAAAACACTGAGGGAAATAACTGAGCAATAGGCATAAGTGTTTGATTTTTAGAGATTTAAAAAAAAAAAGGAGTTAGTTGGCCTAAGGCTAGAATTTTCATTACATCAATGAAAGAAAGAAAACAGAAGCCAGCAGAGGGAAGTTATAGAAACTGACTTTATATAAACAGTGAGAAAAATCTTTTTCCATGGCCACCTACAATGTAGCTACTTTACCATCCGTATGATTTTTCTTTTACCAGTGGCACAGCAGCCCGGGCTCAATCCTGCTGCTATAAGAACAGGTTACAGTTCGGCCGAGAGGTTTGCCTTTCACAAGATCAGGCTAACATTTTGTCAGAGAGAGCAAAAACAAAAAATATTTCCACATACCTAAATTGACAAAGCTCATGACCATGTCAGCATCATTCAGAAAGTTGGTGTCGTGCAGGCTGGCTAAGGGAGGATTCTGTGTGGTCAGGGGGGTCATGCGAGATAATTGTATTCTCCGCGAATATCCATTTGGAGAGGCAGGGTATCCTTTCCGTATCCCTCTGCTCTCCCCTGCCATTGATCCCTTTAGTGAATACTCCAGCTCCTCAGAATCCTCTTCATTTGTCATGGCATTATACAGGTCCAGCATGAAGAGGGGTGCAGAAGAAGCCTGCTTTCCTGGTGAAAATGGTCTGGGTCTGTGAGGTAAACCCAGGATAGAGAGAATCTCTCTCTGAATCTCCCTTCTTTCATGGTTCCGCAGCCTCCTGTAAATAAAACTCGAATGGACATGATTGTCTCCTAAACCTCCCTGTGCGTGACCCACCAGAACCCAGCAATTCCAGAGCAAGCCCAGGAAAGCTTTGAGCGCAGTTAGGAAAAAAATTGAAAAAAAAAAAAACAAAAAAAAAAAAAAAAAAAAAAAAAAAAANNNCACCAAAAAACAACTTGTCTCCTACTTGTTCTGAGTTCCTATGAGGTCTGCTTTCCCAGTAGTTGAAAAACAAAATTTACCTATTCTTCATGTCAATGTCATCTCTAAACGTAACATCGTAACATCTTTGGTGATTCCTCTCCCCCCACCCTGTTTCAATATTATGGAATGTGTCAGGTTGCAGTTATTTCTAAGAAAGCTGAAATTCAGACTTCCAATTTTCCACTGTTGTTATCGTTTTTTCTGCATTTATGGAGCAGAAGACCAGTATTTTGTCAGCTGACCTAGGCATTCCTATATAAACCTTAGATAACCAGGTCTTTGGTGGGGAGCTGTATTAGCAAGAGATGTTCTTCTGACACTTTGTAGTTCCCAGAGTAATCTTCCCTCGTTATTCTGAGTTCTTCGTACACCTTGCGCTCTTCCCAAGATAAAATCCTGAGTCACAGATTTGTCTTGATCTGTACCTTGGAGGTGTAACACATATTTGTCCAGCAGCCTGGAGATAACTTTAACATCTTTTGAATCTCTTGAGTGTAAAGTAATTCTAAAGCATGTACTAATCAAATTAATGTGTTGCCATAAATTTACTTGCAAAAAATAACCTTCTGTAAATCCATTCAACCCTTTTCAGCTTCTGAACTGTTATTTCCAACTGTAGCAGGCACAAATATAACAGCTCTCTTCAAGAGAGATCTAAAGACTAATGTAAGCACAACCCTGCTGGGAAAGAAGAGGCTTCTCATTGTAATTTGAAACGGGTATAGCAAAAAAGTCCTTAACCCTTCTCTTGCCAGATAGAGCTTTAAACCTCTCCCCCGGTCTCTCCAATTTACAGTAATATACCTAATCTGGGCTAATGGCTGTGTTTTTGGTAATAGATTGCACAATCAATTTTAACTGTAACAATTTTTGGATATATAGATGGCATAATATGGAAGCTCTTGTGAGTCTCCTTATGAGACTATGGTTTAATAAACTTGAGTAGGAAACTCTCACAACAGACTATAACATCTCACTAATTCAAGAAAAGTTTCTGTTTTAGGCCAGTTTATCAAACAAAGGTGATCTTTTGAAAAAACTCTGTAGGGAAATCAAGCCTCAAATGAGGCTTGATTTACTCTTTTCTAAAAATGTTGGGAATGCAATCTGAATGAAAACAAATTTATTCAGCAAGCAAGATTTCAAATGGTGCACAACTAATATGGTTATAGTCACAACTTTCATAACCTCTAATTTGCAATGATAATTTATTCAAAATACATTTTTACTCATAAATTGCTATACTACTTTTCCCAGTAAATGTATAAAGTTAAAATTTAATCCCACAGCCTGTTATTAACTTTAGTTTCACTGAAGAAATAAGAATATTAAATAGATTTTAAAGCTGCTTCCCCTGAAGTTAAGGTTCAGTGTAGAATTTTTTGACAACAGGTAACTGGTATTTTCCTCTCACTTTCTCAAAATCACCGTGTTAAATTTCATACTGCTTAGATTATTAGAATATTAGATTATTTCATACTACTTATATTATTGGTGGTCATTTTCCTTGCTGCTAAAATTTGCCTTTAGTCTTGAGGAGACTTTACTTTGATGACGGGTAGGAAAAAGGGACAAAAAAAGGATTTTTGTCAACATGAAATTAGGGAAAAAAACTAGCTACATAAAATCCATTGCTTTGGGTTTTCCTTTACATGACACCTACTCAGCAAATCACACAGTCCTTGAGTAAACTTGGGAGTGTGACAGCTAGTATACTCACACCCTAAGAAGCCAGGAACAATTTATCTAATATATGAAGCACAAACAAAATTTACACTCTAGTCCAGCCATCACCTAAATACAAGTGATTCTCTCTCATAAATCAGCACATATAATGAACAATGCTTCTCCCAGTAAAGGATTTATCTCATGCTAGACCTGCCAAATTGGCACTAAAATTATGAAGATATTTAGCAAAAGTCTTTTTCTTCTTAGCAGAAGAGCAATCACAATAATAATCAGAATAAATTTTCTTTCCTCACTAAGGTGTTTCTTCAAAATCTATTTGTTAAAAGATAAGTATTATTTCCTGGTTTTTCTTCTTTTCATTTGTTCTGCTCAGTCAGTTGAAATGATACATGAGACTTTACAATACATATGTCTTTTCTGAATTTGGCCATTGCATATCCTGCAAGAAGAATTTTTCCTCTTTTCCAGTAATATATTTCCTTTTTTCCCTAAGCATTCATAAAAGCCAGTGGATTGATTGCTCAGAGGATTTAAGTCCTCAGCCCATCATTATGTCCAGCAATAGAAATTTCCTATATTATGGCACTAGAAGTTCCAAATTAGTTAATTTTTTTTTATTAAAAAAGCCAAAAATGTCTTTAAATTCAAGTGTATTTTTATATAGCAAACATCCAGAGAGAAACTAAATAAGAACACATCTAAACTAGTAATCATATGTTTGATGAAAAGAGATCCTGTTACTTTTTGATAGAGCCACAACCAAACAAGTAACATAAATACAAAGCATTTATTTTACAATAACTTGCACTACACTCAGGCACCAAATGTCCCAGACTAGAACACAGAATAATTGTTTTAAAGTTTTTATTAATATAAACAAAATGTCCTTTTGCATAAGCCTATTCTCCATAAACACTCAGTCTTAGTTTAGCATGGGTATTTCATGCAGGGCAGACACAGCTTTATAAGTGAAAGTCTTTGCTAAAGACGTCAAAGGTGTCTATAATCACTGATAGACCTCATTTTGCATTTCCAATATGAAACAATGAACTTTAAAGAAAAAATACCATGTACGGTTTCAGCATGTCAATATAGACCTTTCTTCCCCAGATGCTAAACCTGGTAGCAACCTAAGAAATCACCTGAACAGCCCTTACCCAGGTTTTCAAAATAAAAGGAAGACTAAAATGGCTCCAGAAGTGAGCTCCTCTTAGGGATAGGTATCTGAGAGAGGAGCACATAGCCAGTGGTGCACCTGGAGAGCCAGGACTCAGAGGCAGGAAAGCAGCAGAGCACCATGCAGGCACCCTGGCAGTACAAGATAGGAAGCAGCTGCATGAATTTCTTAAACAATGTGGCATGTATGCACATGATGAGTGAATTCAGAGCTCATTACGTTTGTACTAATCTAAACAATGTTAGAGAAAATATCGTAGGGGAAGTAATGAAACCTGGGAATCCAGATCTTGCCAATCTTGCATTCCAATGGATCGCCATTCACTATAATGGTGAAAAAAGTTTTAACTACCCTCCAGACCACTGTAATCATTGAAGGTAGAAGTGGTTTTGTGGGCAATGCCCACTGCTCAAAAATACACAAAAATCAGTATATGGCTTCTCAATGCAGAATCCCTTTGGTTCTCAATGTCACATCAATAGAGGGTGATTCCCCAGAGCAATGGTTTGCTGCAACTGTTTGGCAAATTAGGCTAAAATGCAGACCCTCTTCAGGACATTTGCAGTCTTAATCTGAAACATATGCATGCACACAGAATAATTCTGATGGCTCTTTCCCTCATTAATGATCAGCTAAATTTGATATTCAGATCAATATTATGCATAAACAGATGAGTCAACATTAAAAATGTTTAAGTCTCTTCTTGTTACCTTCCTGCAAGGCTATTGCTGCAAAAAGTACCTGGAGAAAGACTCCTGTAAAAAGGTTTCATGAAAGCTGGAGAATAATTAGTTGCTAAAGCTACAGATTCCCCAGCAAAAAGAAAGCAAGTAGCTTGAACATTTCCTGAGGGAGAAATGTGACCCTGACACCATAATTTGGCGAACCTGTTACACTACCTGTATGCAAGTCAAATTTAGAGTGCTATGGACTGCGCGAGGTGTACATTTGAGACTTTGGACATAAGTATGCATACGTCCAAATGTTCGAAATGTCTGATCAATAAAAACTTGTACGATAACTTTCACTCAGTTTTTTTATGTTATTGAGTTGGATGTTGTATGAAAGATGTACTCTTACCCTGCTAACATAAGAATGAAGCACAAATATATTTTTCTGCATCATTGAAAGACATGTCTCCTAATGCCAAGATAATTCAATTTGTAATGGGCACAGTGTGAAAACTCATAGAATTCACTGCAGAAATTGGCAGCTGAGATATAAATTAAGTATTATGTTTTTAGACCCCTTATATTCAGAGTATTATTTATTCATAGAGTACTTCCATTTTATGCTACAGCAATTGGAATTCATTGAAAAATAACACTTATTATGTGGAAGTGTTCCATACTTAGATTATAGTGTTATTTATTCAGTTACCAACAAGTTTCCTGTAGAAAAAGAGTTTTTCATCTAGGTATTCAAAAGCACAGTCATTTAATAGAACACTTTGTTTAAAATTTACAGAAAGGGCTCCAGCTTTAAGTACAATAATTTGTGAAGTTTGTTCTATTCACGGTACATAGACAATGTTGTAAAACTATCAGCACAGAATACTCTGCAGTATTGAAATTATACCTTTTTTTACCATCAAGCAAATTGAGAAAAATAATTTTGCAATCTGCCTGAGGACTTTTTTGAAACTTATTGTATTCAAGGACTGAGAAATAAAAAAATTTCACACATATACTTCAGAAACAAGAACAACAAAATATACAATTAATAATATGATTCAACATCACAGTGCTATCATTTGTATAATTTAAAAACCCAAAGAGCTCCCAGAAATCCCCTTTGGTTTAAAATAAGCTCCTAATTATCTCAAAAGAAAAAAAAAATGGAACTGCACTGAAGAAAATACAAAACACTTGGACAAGAGCAATAACATTTGCAAGTAATAAAGCACTTTTAAAGAGGATTATTCTTGGCTCAGTTTGTAGAAGGGTTTTATTGTGCCCCAGCTCTAGACTGGTACCTGCTGGTCTCCTTGTTCTCTGACTGCAGCACGGCCAGAAGTATCTTGTGCTGTTCCCAG